AAGTTACACAGTATATGTGCTTATTTACCACTGCAATAATTTGGGAAAAAACTCAGTATTTTCAGTTCCTAATGAAATCTACAAGTATTATGGCAAGTGCAAAAATGGTGATTGGTTTCATCTTTCAAGTCGCGTTCTTCACGTGGTCTGCTTTATGGTCAGATGAAAACTTGGCATTTTGAGTTCAACATTTTGAGCAGCAATAAACTTCTTGTGAACGAAAGTGTAATCCTTTGTAGCAAGAGTTTACGTGTTGCATCAAAGCAACTGCCATAATTAAAAAGGCATTTCAAAAAATATTCAGAAATGAAGTATATGTAAATAAAGTGTTCTGATAGTTCTTGTTGTGCCCTTCAAGCTTCGGGCACCCTTCGTCGTCTTCGTCTTGTCGGCACAGGAGCAGGCAGGAATATTTGTTAATGAAATAATAAAACAGTAAATATAAGAGAAACGAATGAGTGAACAAATGAACTGACTAAGGCTAAGAGTGAGCGCCTTTCATAGCGCTAGTATCTCGCGCACTCTGAGGTTGCGATCGACTACGCGAGGCAGATCACTATGAGGAACAACTGATCATTTATTAGGTTGTGTAGTAAGTTCTGTACCATTTTTTCCTTCGATTTTTTTTATCAATAACAATTATCCTACAGTGCTGGCCATAATTATAAAGCCACCCTAAAAATCACTGTGGTTTGCTCTCTTTTGCTCAAAATTGTCTGAAAAACAACTGTTCTGTGCGCAAACTAACGTCATATCAATGACCAAGACGGCTTCCCGATTTCATTGATTTTGGCCGGAGAACAACTGAAAAATTTGAAAAAACGGGTTTCAAGGCTAGTCACAGCTATAATTTTTATCCTCTCATTTTCAATCAGTACTACGTTTTTGAATCTCAATTTTTTTGCACATGTACAACATCAAAATATGGAACATTTGTTACACTTGGAACCAGTCGTCTTCTGGAAAGAAAATACTTACTGCATTTTTGCTCTAAAATGCATAAAAAGTCACATTGTTCAAAAAAACTGCTTTTTCACTGAGTTTTGAAGAGCTTGTTTGACTCGAAAGGCCCTAGACTTCGCCGAACCTTTGCAATGAATACGGTGAAAAGCGCTTGAGTCAACATTGCATGGTCGCTGATATTGATAAACGAGCCCCAACCTCACCTTCAGGTAGACGAGTTTTTGAGCCGCAGAAATTGGGTTCTAATACCCGAAAAGCTCTGTCGCGTTCAAAATTTGGAGTCTTGTGAGATACACTGCGCACAACCGAACTGCAGACAAAGCGTTCTAATTGAAATGCGGCAGATACGTTGCAAAAAACTGACAGGCTTCTGCATGAGTACGTCGCCATGCAAACAAGTTGTCAACTTCCAACCAAAAGTCTTCGCGCGTCAGAAATCGAGTTTCGCGTCCCAGAAGCGTGCTTACACCTCGGTAAGATGAGGCTGGTTTATCAAGATTAGCGACTACGCAATGTTGAGTTTAGCACTTTTTACCTTGTTCATTGCAAGGCTAAGCAAATCCTGGGACCTTCATCCGAGTCAAAAAAGTGCTTCAAAATTCATTGAAAATGCAGTTCTTTTGAACAATGTGACTTTTATGCATTTTAGAGCAAAAATGCAGTACGTATCTTCTTTCCAGAACGCGACTAGTTCCAAGTGTAAAAAATGTTCCATATTTTGATGTTTTATATGTACAAAAAAATTGAGATTCAAAAAACGTAGTACTGATTGAAAATGAGAGGTAGCTTTCTGTGACTAGCCTTGAAACCCGTTTTTTTTTCAAAATTTTCCCTTGTTCTCGACGAGACGTATTTGCCGCATTTCAGTTAAAACGCTTTGTCTGCAGTTCGGTTGTGCGCAGTGTATCTCACAAGCTCCAAATTTTGAACGCGACAGAGCTTTTCGGGTACTAGAACTCAATTTCTGCGGTTCGAAAACTCTAGGCTCGTCTACCTGAAGGTGAGGTTGGGGCTCGTTTATCAATATCAGCGACCACGCAATGTTGACTCAAGCGCTTTTCACCGTATTCATTACAAAGGTTCGGCGAAGTCTAGGGCCTTTCGAGTCAAACAAGCCCATGTCTTGATGTTGTATATGTGCAAAAAAATGGAGATTCAAAAGCGTAGTACTGATTGAAAATGAGAGGTGGCTTTATAGCTGTGACCAGCCTTGAAACCCGTTTCTTCAAATTTTTCAATTGTTCTCCAGCCAAAATCAATAAAATTGGGAGCCGTTCTGGTCAATGATATGACTTTAGTTTGCGCACAGAATAGTGGTTTTTCAGACAACTTTGAGCAAGAGAGAGCAAACCACAGTGATTTTTAGGGTAGCTTTGTAGTTATGGCCAGCAGTGTATATGGGAGAAAGTGTACATGCTTTTGAAAGCTCTAAATCTGGTCTGCGAACTAGTATGCTTCATTCCCCAATTTAGCAGGATGCTAAAAAGATTATTGGCATTAGAAGAAAAAACCCGAAAAGGCAAAAAATCCATTTTCGACATCTTTTTTCTCTTCAAATTTCCCCGTTTTCCGTTGGTAATTTTTATTCAACAAGCTTGACAACAAATGGAACAACCTATTAGAACTCCTATGTTGTAGTGGCATTGTTTGTGCTTGTTCCACTCCTTCTACCGACTTTTTGATGCCATTTTTTTAGAAGTCGGCAGGTCAAAATTTTGCTGCGACAGTGTTCGTCGCCTTGCCTACCTAAGCTGTGTGTCCCCCAAAGATTAGATTTTTGAGTAGCTAACTTATGAATTCAATGATTTTATAGCCAAAGACGCCCCTACTGCTTTTTCTGGATTATACGTCTACCGTCCTTTCTCAGGACTGCCTTCGGGATACCCGGCGTCAACATTAAGAAGATGTTAGAAAGAAGACTTTTTGAGTCCTAATAAAAGTTTATTGAAACTTTTCTGCACTTTTGAACCTCTGCAAAAGCTACAGCATTCTTTTCTTATGCTCAGCAGATTTTTCGAGCGTTTTGTAAGCATTCTGATCTAAACGGGAGGTGGCTCAAATTAGTTGTCGAAACGGATTTTTTTCTCTGTGGTTTTCCAAACTTTATGCTGGGGAACTTTTTACACTCCATTGATGAAAGAAGTTGAAGTAAAGATTTATAGAGCAGATTAGAGCTTTCAAATATGTATGCATGTATATATGCAAAGCTTTCAAGCTTTGCATATATACATTTTGCAAAATACCTGCAAAATACTGTGAAAAAATCGAAAGAATAAATGGGAGCGAACTTATTACACAACCTAATACAATCGCTGACACAACACCTCCCCAGTAGGGCAGTCACACAAAACTAGCCTACGAAAAAGCATGAACTACAAGTATGAACAGCTAAGAAATTGGTTACGCGCAGACACTATCATTCAAACAACTAAAGCTAATGAAACAAACCTACAATAACATACTATGAACTATACTAAGAAGATTGCTCCATGCCATGCTATCTTCATCGATCATTCAATAAGTAATTGATCAGCCGGGCAAATATTCGAACCCATCTGCAAAACTTTCATTCGCCTAATATTCGAACGAGCCGTTGTTTGAACTGGCAGAATGAACGAATCGAGCTATCTTTTTTGCTTTCGATACTCGAACAATCGAAAATGCCTTGTACGGATATTCGACTATTCAATTACTCGATTAGAAACTATTAAATGCATTATTCGAACAGGAATATTCGGTCTCAATTATAGTAATCATCACAGGTTGCGGCTGCACGCGCATCGATCGATGTCTTCCATTCAGCATCCGCATTGATGCTCTATCTCATTCACATATATGATAAAATCAGCGATTGAAAAAAATGCTTTATGGGAAGATGTCCTTCGTTAGAACATTTGCATGTAATCTATGACTCCCGGTGACTCCCAGATTTGAACACACTTTTTTGATGCTTAGTAAATTTGCATTTCATTATTCTATCACATTCACAAGCATGATAGCAGTCCAAGACGCTTGCCACATATGAGATAGAGTTTCCAATGCGCAGTATTTCTTCGCGGTCATTTGCATCAAATTAGTCAAACATAGGCTCCTTCTTTAGTATGTCTGTTCGTTTGTCCAACTTTTTGCCATTCTAAAGCCTGCCTGTCTTTTCAAAAACTTTAAAAGCATCCAAACTTTTTCCTTCTTTTAACTCTAACCTTACACTACATATTTATCAAAATAGTATCGTATTCATAACTGACTGAATATGACTCGATCACATCCGGAGTGAGTCCGCATCAACTCTGGGCATAAACAACGCGGAGAGCGTAAGCGAAGTGAGCACAGACACTCCGCTTGCGTCTAGTGTCTTGATCAAAGCCCGAATATTGAATCGATCCGGATTCAATCTGGATAACAAGCTTACGCCAAATTCTTGACAGGCTCAAACTACGAATTTAACACTTCTATATGGATGGTTTGAGAGTATACTTACACTTACTGAAAGGTACTTTTCACCAACGTACTTAGCAAGCAGTGGCGGTCTGATGCGCCGCCCCCCCCCCACTCCCGACAATGGTCGCGAAATTCTTGAAAGTTACTTACATGGCTCATAAAATTGTGCAGGTGATTTGCTCATACTTGTAAATAGTTGAATTGATTTTTAAAAATTTGAAAAATTTAAATTAGCCTCCTAAAAAAATTTTTTTTCGGGACGTGGCGGCAGACACTCCCCTTCTAGATTTTAGGGATTATGGGCCGGCAAAAATTTTGAGAGGCACCCCAAAAAATTTTTCGACTGCTTGGCTAACGCCATCCGCCCTTATTTGAGAAACTTTTTTGCCATCCCCCCTCCCACAGAAGCAGTGGGACGGCCACTATTAGCAGATGTGCTTATACAACTGTAGCTCTGCCGGAGTAAGGAAACTGAAAGCTCAACGTCTGTAGCAAATTGCTAGAGAAGGTTGAACACGTTCACATAAGTTTGATACCAAAATAATGACTTTTTCAAGACTTAAGCCTTTTCAGCACAGGCAGCCAATTCGTATAATTTCAGAAAATGCTTTAAAGTATTTGTTTTATCCATTTGACATTAGCGATCAAGTGACGCAGATAATAGTTACAGAGATTGAAAATGCTGACACTTAATGTGTTTAATCTGACCATTGGCACACTCTCGGTCTTTGGTCCGCGGCTACAAGGTAAACAAAATAGCAATTTTCAAAATGACTCAAACCACAGCTATCTAGTTAAGGTACACACATGGAGGATCTGCCAGGGCTTTCGATCAATTTGACAGGTCATGATTAGAAACTAGTAGCCAACAGCGAAAACTAATTATACTTAATGAAGAGTTTTTCCTCAAAGATTACGTAGACGTACATAAAGCGAAAGTGCTAGTTGGATCATAGACATAGCACACAATTTCAGAATTTTCAAAGCTAACTATCAAAGTTTGGTCCAATTTTTTTGATTGATCACCAAAACTCATAACAAGACCGCTGAACGACCTAGGTATCATTCCATAAAAATTTTCATCCTTTTTCAAAAAGCATGCATGCTCTGTGATCCATGGGTTGTTTCAGACTGCCACATTGACCGCTGCAGACTGCAGCTGACCGCACTGACCGCAGCTGACTGCAGCTGACTGCAGCAGACTGCATGATCGCACTGACCGCAAGGGCCGCACAGCTCGCTGCGTCCTTTCGTAAAAGTGAGGAAAAATGCTTGTAGCCCACACAATCAACAACAATATATGCCTACACCCAAAAGACAACACAAGCGAGAATAAAACAGGAGAGCAATAACAGGAAGAATCAGAACAAATATGAGCAAACCAAAGAAAAACAGTCGCCAAAATTTGATTGAGAAAAGCAAGTCGAAACCTATGAACTTCCTAGGCGTAAATCACGGTGTTTTTACTCAATCCAATTGTTTTCTCTTTTTTCGAAACGATGCAGCAATCTATGCGGCCGTTGCAGTCAGCTGCAGATTGCTGCAGTCTGCTGCGGTCAGTGCAGTCAGCTGCAATCTGCTGCAGTCAGTGCGGAGTATGAAACAACCCCATGTCGTCTTTCCGATGTTATCGCCAAGGCTCTTTGAGCAGTTTAAAATTGACGCTACTTTTCTAAATACTTAGAAAAGGCTGCTAGCCGTTATGCAAGTAAACCTTGGGCTACATTTTACCCAGGTTAAATTAAAGCTTTGAATTTTGTAATAACGTTTATTTTGAGAAAACTTTTGAGCACATGTAGCGCAATATACCGAAATTCCAAGAAGCTGTTTTTTTAGCAAACAAGCTTGGTTAAATGTACAAATGATGTTCAACAACACTACGCAAATTTCAATTTGCAGAAAGTTCAGAAGCTTTCATGTTTTTGCTGCAGATGTGTATGTCATGACTTTACCAAAAATCGGGAGCTCTAAAGAAACAATTTTTTAGAGTTTCAAACACCCGAACGGAATGGAATCTTATATATAAAGCTGAATTTTTGTTTGTATGTCTGTCTGTCTGTCCGTATGTCTGTCTGTATGTGTGACATACACGTGGGGCCGCGGCGGGTGTCATAGGCTACTTTTCGTCATCGATCGATATCGATTTTATCGATTTTTATCGATTTCTTTACAGAGTTCACCTACGGGGCTAGGAGTTGGCATAGGGGTATGTGAGCATGGGGATTCCGAATGAAATATTAGTTTTCACAATTATCGATTACTTTTATCGATTATGTAGTTTTTTTTTTGTAAAGTTTGACCTGCGGGCTGGGAGTTTGCACAGGGGGGGGGGGGGGGGTAATCGAGCATGCTGATTCCGAATACAATGTTAGTTTTTGGATTCATCTATTACTTTTATCGATTTTATCGATTTTTATGGATTTTTACTTGCAGAGTTCATCTACGGGGCTGGGAGTTTGCACAGAGCGGTAATCGAGCATGCTGATTCCGAATACAATATTAGTTTCCAGAATTATCGGTTACTTTTATCGATTTTGTAAATTTTTTTGTAAAGTTCGACCTGCGGGGCTGGAAGTTTGCACAAGGGGGGGGGGGGGTAATCGAGCATGCTGATTACGAACACATTAGTTTGGCACTATTCGGCCATCCGGGCCCCAAAATTTTTTTTGTTGTACAGCTTGCTCAAACTTCGGGTATAAGGGTCATCTTACGTGCTGAAAACAGATATCACACTTTTTCCGCAGAACGTCTCCCCGTGTGGTTACGGTAGACGTACGGTAGGAAGTCAAAACCATGAATTCGGCTGGAGTTTCGTCCAGAGAACTTATTTGACGTGCTGATTACGAAAATCATACTCTCCCTATATATCGGGACCGTTTCATAGAGTTGTGGTGGTTATACGGTATGGGGTCGAAAACAGAGATTTGCTTTAAACTTTGTCTAGGGTGGCCATTTAACGCGCTGAACATGAATATCACGCTGATTTCGAGGATAGTGCATTTTCTTGGGTTACGGTGGGTGCAAACGGGTTGAAGTTCCAGATTTGCTCAAAACCTTACCTGGAATGTTCACAAGTATATCGCTTATGAATATGATGCTTGCTCGCTGTCATAACGCAATAGCGAAGTTATGGTGAGTTGCAGAGTTTGAATGGACATTTTTTCTTTTTCGGGCCAATTTAAATCCCAGATATTCACGAAATGGGGAAACGGTTTATGCATGTCGGTCTCCAGCGCCATCCTGATAATCTGTCCCAACGCGTAACGCACGCGGCAAATCTCCCTCCCCTCTTTTTGCTTAGGCAAAACCCGCCGAAGGGTGTATCGCGCGCGGCAGTGGTCCTATAAGGAACGCACTACGGCGTGGGAAACTTTTATACCACACGAATTGCCATTATCATGGGGATTAGCACGATATCCTTGAAACAGCACTTTGGGTAATTCGCTGCTAAGGTTTCGGGCAAGTTTATGATTTTTACCCGCTGCCACGCGAAATGACTACCATATTCATCATCACCGGCTTGAATAACCCCCATATACCGAATTTGACCAAGACACAGAAACATCTTAGGGCCCGAACAGCCGAATACGCAATCAGTTTTTAGAATTATCTTTACATTTATCGATTTTATTGTTTTTTTTGCAAAGTTTGAGCTACGGGGCTGGGGGGGGGGATTGGTGAGGAAGGTAGGTGAGCATAGTGATTACTCACACAGCGGGAATAGGGAATTGCATGTGGAAGTTGGCACAGGTAAAGGTGTACGTGATAGAAATGGAACCTTTATCGTTTTTGACAGGGCCGGGCGGAGCCGGGTAAGCCAGCTAGTTCTCAATAGTCCGACACTCGCTGTATTTGTATCACACCTACTTTTCCGAAACTTTGGACCACATTTTTGGAAATCAGGCGAATTTTGAGTGATTGCAATTGACTAGATTGCGTAATGTACCTTCGATTCGCTGTCCGCCCGGACTGCTCAAACGCTGCGGACCACTTGCGGCGCAGTTAAAATGTTGCGAGAGCACGATTTGTACAATGGCGCATTTGTAGTGAGGCAAGTGTTTTATATACCTCGCGGCGCGTGCTCCGCAGTGATGTCCAGTCAGTGTGGTCAACGAATCAACTATGATTGTTCCGTCCTCACACTCTCCGCGTTCTCGATTTTTGAGCAGTAGATTTTTGGGCAGTAGAGAGAAAAAGAGGAATATTTATTGAGAAGAAGGTAAAGAAACCAGGGCCCGGCACGAGGTCGGCAAAGCTGGAAATCGTTTTGGGGCCAAAAAGCAAAGGGGAAATCGTTTTTGCGGGGTTCGGAAAAAAATTGGTAGTTTATGCTCGCTACTTATCTTGACATGTTATGTGCCTCAACAGGCGAACACTGGAGTTCGCGCGCGTCAAACCGCGCCGTCGCTAGTTGCCGCACGCGCGACGTCGCCCAAGCGATGCTATTTGTGACTGCATACATGACTAGTTCTCAATGTATGTGTAACGATATGGCATCAAATTTTGTATGCGAACGGAGAGAGGCTAGTGGAAACACAGTATGAAAAATTATGAAGAACTTATGTGAACGGAACGAGTAATTAGCATTTATTCCGAAAGTTTTGCAAAACTGGTAAATGAAGATGTGAATTCAAACGGCTCGTTTACAGCGCACAGATGACGATATGGTATGAAACTTGGTAGGTAGATGAACACGGGCCTGCAGGGCTTGACTTAGAAGTTTCATTGAAAAATTATGTGACTGAATGTTGTGGCAAGCTTTTGTCTGGAAATTTCCCACTATCAAGAAAATGGAAAAATGGCTCGTTTGCAACGCAGAGGAAACGAAATCGCGCGGGACTTGGTGTGTATATGCGCAGTAGGACTAAGTAACAAAGTATGAAAAATTATGAAAAACTTATGTGAATGAAAAGTTTCCTTAACTAATTTCCAAATTAGGTCGGCATTTGCCGACCTAATTCCCACCTGAGGTCGGCAAAACTCTCGATTCACATAATTTTTTCAAAATTTTTACATAAATCTGTTGTACACCTAAAGTTTACTACATGGTGAAATTTTGGTTCCGAAACTCCTCCTCTTGTCCTTGTTAGAGCCCAAAATCGCATCAGCAGCCTAGTTTTCTAAGATGGAAAGCGCGCCCCAGTCAATCAATACGCGCGGGAACGGCGTCTCTCATTCCTATGACTGCGTTTCTTTGATATTTTCTCATTCCTTAATCATTTTTCTTGCTTATTTTTCTTCCTGTTTCCCATCTTGATACAGCTGAGGAGTAATTTGAGGAATTTGAGCAATTTGGGCGCTTTTGAGCGCTTTTAGGCGAAGTGTGGCCGGTAATCTCGTCGCACAAGCACAAAACGTCATTTTTGGGCTCAAGGGGGTATTCGGGTATTCGTAAAATTTATTGGGATTAAAGGGGAATTCGTTTTGGAAAACCCCGTTTGCCCACTCCTGCCGGGCCCTGAAAGAAACAATTCGAGGCGAATGAGTGCACTGACTAAGGCTAAGTAAGCGCTTTTCATAGCGCTCATTTTCCGTGCTGCATCAATTGATTTTTAAAAATTTTAGGTCGTTATACAAACGTCCGAAAAATCGGACAAAACTTTCGGGATAGCCGTATGTAAATAGTATAGGTCATATATAAGTTCGTGACGACGGATTTGACTGCGGACTTTGCGCACAGGAGCAGGAACAGGAGCAAGAGCATAAAACCTTGTACAAGAAGACATTGCCTCAAAGCTCAGTTCATTCACTTCCAGTGCCTGAATACTATCGTACGTAAGTATAAAAAAACCACTCGAATAGAGAGGAAAACTAAGAAAATGCGGTTTTCGGAAGTGGCGTGCATGTAGCGCGCGGTCGGCCATCGTCACGATTTTTCAAATGCCCTATCCACCAAGAATTTCTACTACCTTGCAGATACACACCGCGGTTCATGTTCATGTCCTACCGACCTTTACAATGTCAAGATATGTCCTGCCAAAGATAACTGTTGGAATGTAAGAAATCTACTTTTGAGTTGCAGCCCTTTATCCACTAATCCACCGTCTTAATACAAATCAAAAAACAACTTTACAGACCACAGAAGGTGTTATATATCACGCGACGCCAGATGGACAGTGCACTGCATATATAAGCTGTGATCATCCTCCCTACAATCGCTTAACAGTGCTACAAACCGATGGTGAACTCTGGTCCTCTTCACGTACGTTCCATGCACATATTGCTAATTGCCTTTCAGTGTGGAATCTCTCTTAGAGGCAGCGGCTCGGCAGAATGACAGTTATGGGATATTCATCGTTTTCGGTTCCCCTGTATGAGCTAAGTCCAAGACTGTGCGTTGCAGCTTCAAAAAATATCAGTAACCCGCTTTTCCAGGTGTGACAAAGTGCTAGTGGGCGGACGACGTAGGCCTGCCCACTAAAGCGCGATTGGCTCGTGAGTGAGGGCACCGTACCCACAGTACCCACGAGCCAATCGCGCTCAAGAGGGCAGGCATACGTCGTGCGTTCACTCAGACAATCGCCGGGGCAGGCGGCAATGCAGTTTTTGGGCGGGCGGGAAGATAATTCGTTGACTCCTTGCGCTCCGCTTGCAGAAATCTGAATGGCCGCATTCTCGCGGAGTTTCCGCGAGAGCGTGCGGAATTACTGGGGGCCCGCGGTTCTTTGCAGGGGACCGCTTGGCCCATGGGGTACCTTCCGCAGGAGAGAGTACCCCAAACTTGGGTAATCAAACCACCTATGACACCTCTGCCACATAGAGTCTCACCTTTGCTCGGCTACGCCCGAAACTGCTTAAAAAGAGTGCGAGCGCTTGCTGAAAGTTGGTCAGCGCTCGTTGAAAGAAATTAATAGACGAGCGCTTGCAGAAAACTCTATCGCTGCCCGCTGGCAGCAGCAAAAGAAGTATCGAGGTTTGGCCACGCTCCAAAATTCTGCTGACCACCTGCAGGAAAGTGCGAGTTTGCGGACCGCCTGTCCCCAACGATTGTCTGAGCAATTAGCACTTTTTCACGTCTGGAAAAGCGGGTTGCTGATATCTTTGAAGCTGCAAAGCACAGCCTTGGACTTAGCTCATACAGGGGAACCGAGAGCGATGAATATCCCAAAGTTGTAATATTCTGAGGAGCCGATTCCTTCAAGGCTGCTTAAGATTTTGTTCATTATACTCTTGAGTTCCAGTGAACGAGTCGGTATTAAAATGTCTCTCACTACTTTATTAGAAAGCATTATTCGATTATTTCCTTATTCGGTGACGCTGGGTTCCTACGCATAAGCGTAGGAACATAGGCGTACGGAAATAAGTTAATCTGCATTCAATTAAAAGAAAAGGGATTTCAACACCTTCAATGTAAGCTTTTTGCTATGTGCAATCATCGCGATTCTGTCAAGCTGCAAATGTAAACTCAGATTCTATCTGCAGGTAATATCCTAAGTATTCATTGTAATAACTTACAAATCACTGGTATAGGGGCCTGCATGATCGCGAGAGCACGTACGGCCATGGCACCGTGCACATCCGATGTCCGTCCCACGACTCAGGTAGGGCCAGACTTACCCTGCTCAGCAGGTTCATCAGGTTCACCCCTCTGCTATTGGTCAGCGCGTTGATTTGACTAATAGCGAATGAATGAACCGGGTGAACCGGTTGAATGGGATAAGTCTGGCACCTGCCTCAGTGACATCGGACGTGTGCGGCGCAATGGTCGTACGCACGTCCGATTTTCGCGATCGTGCAGGCTCCTATAGCTTCGATTTCAAACCTATACCACAGAATGATGCATCCTTAACAACACACATGTTTGCGAGTCCGCAGCGATCTTTGCATGTTTTAATTAAAAAACATTATCGACCTCCCATCATTTCCTTAAAGCGCAAAAATCTACTTTTCCGGAGTTTACAACTAATTGAGCAAGTCAAATTTAGAACGTTTTGAGACAAATTCATGTTCACAATGTAGAGGAGGGTGTGCCGGCTCGGTGAGCCCTAAGCATCTAGACTGACCCAAGATACCCGTGCGTTCGCCCCTTATTACATTTGACGCAACCTAGCCTACTACTTGCCCTAGCGTGTAAGAAAACAATGCTTAAATTACTTGTAGTTTATCCTTGGAACACAAAAGAAAACAAGTAAACACTAAACTAAAATACTAAACTACTACTACTAAGCTATCAACTAAAAGAAACTAACTAAAACCCTAACACGGGACAGGGTGCCCCGTCCCGTGCTACCGATGGTGCGCGACTATAAACTTAAATAACGAATGTGCTTACAAGGCTTCACCCAAACAGATCCGCCACGCGTCGCCGGATACCAGGCGCGACACCTCTCCGCTCCCAAACTTCAAAAGATATTAAATCCCAAAGGTTTAAAATGTAGCCCGTCCGAAGCAATCCAATCTGTCTTGAGTTTCAGTTCAATACAACTTCCGATCCGCTCGACCGCTAACGCAAAAGAGACACCAAAAGCGGGAGCTACATTTTACCAGGCACGAGTGTCGCGGATTGGGCCCTCAGCTCCCCACGTCAGTGCATACGGCTCACCTGCATCGGCGTATGGGAGCCGGGGACCCCCTCCGTGAAAGGGTTCACGTCACTTGGGGCGGTAGCTAGCCTGCACTAAATGCTGCTGTGCCTGCCACACGGCATAACGCCTGACTCTTAAGAGCCCTGAGCTACCAGCTCACCTAGTACTAAATGCAGCCTGGGGCGTTAACTCCATTCCCACCACTGACACTTGGGGCATGCCATCACCACTTGGCACTAGCCGGCATCGTGCCAGTCTTCTCACGGATCTAACCATCTGGACTGTAGATGATGACGACAAAACATACAACACGATATTACTCGGGGCTGGAACCAACCCGCTCACGATGGCGACAGCAGTGAAGACTGACTACGTGACTTATTTGAAAGCTGCGCAGGTGAGAGAGGTGAGAGGCGGGACAGCGCGAAAACGGCGTCTGGGGACCCTTCGCAACGCGACGGGGGCCTCCTTTAAAGGAAGTCGCGACCGCGACAACGAGCACAATAGAGAAAACACAGAAAGGAATATCGATCGAACAGACAGAAAAGCAGACAGGCACCGAAATGAGGCGCCGCCGCTACATTTAGCCGTTTGGTTGGCAACGCGGCAAAGCGAGGAGAGGTCCAGCGGCCATTGCGGCAAGCGTGGGAAAGTACCGTAATCGTCGCCAGATAGCGCGGCAGCAACCAGTGCTCCCGGCCTCCTATTTCTAAGAGCATCGCATCGCGGAGCCAACACAGAGGGGCCGAGAAATAGACTATCAAGTACAGTGGCGGGATGCTGGCAGTTTGAAAGCAGTGGCTCGGCAAATCCTCAAAATTCGTTTCACTCCTATCTGGGGTTATCCACTGCGCTAATTCAGAGTTTTACCGTGGAAAGCACGAAATTTGCTAGAACAGCATTTTCCAAAGTCACTATATTCGAACATGGATGAGTGGGCGCAAAGCCCGCTACGGCGAAGACACTGAGCCGTTGTGGGATCCTTATGGTTGTAGCATAGCGACATGCGCGCTCTTATTGCGGAAGGGAGGGCAGGGAAACAAAAGCCGCCAGTTCGAGCCGCCTTTCGTGGCCAAGTGGTCCTTTGCAATGTTGTTGCATGTCGTTCAAGGCCCAGTACTCCGCGAAGGCAGCTCAAAAGGGTGACTTTCATTCCTCTACCGTGGAAGGGAAACCGCGAGGTGGGCGGAATTAGAGATGGGAGCTGTAGGGAAAGACGGAAGCGCTCCTTTCGCTTTGATTGTCGGAGATAAGAAGTGGTAGTGAGAGATCGAACTTGGCCCATATTATACACTAGCTGGCTAACCCGGCTTCGCCATGCCCTGTCAAAACACTACGACAAAGTTCTATCCCTATCCCTATACAACCTTTCTGTGCACACATTTACATGCCAACTCTCTATTCCCACTGTGTTAATAGTCAGCATGCTCAATTACTCCCCTGTGCCAAAAGTCAGCTGTGTAGCTCAAACTTTGCAAAAAATGAATAAATCGATAAAAGTACCGCTTAATTTTGAAAACTAATATTGAATTTGTAGTCAGCATGCTCGATTACCCCCTGTGTCAACTCCCAGCCCCGTAGCCCAAACTTTGCAAAAAATCGGTAAATATAATCGGTATATTGATCGATGGGGAAAAGTAGCCTATGACACCCGCCCCGCCCGTGTATGTGTGCAAAGTTCCGTCCGGATCGGTTCAGAAATAACAGGCATTAGCTTTATATATAGGATGGGGCTCTACTCTGTGACATTGTTTGACTACGAATCTCATTCTGTCGAGCTACTGCCTTCAAGAGGTCACTTTAAGAGGCCAGTGAACGTTTGTCAATGACAAGCTAGTATATACTGAATATAACATGCGCAATGAATCTACAAAAGAAGCGTTGTAGATCATTAATAGAGATTGGGAAGAATTTGCACCAGTGGCGTACCGAGGGAGGGGCGGAGGGGGGGGGAGGGGGCGCGCGCCCCTCCCCCCCCCCCCGAGAATGGGTCGCGAGATTTTTGAAAGTTACTTATAAGGGTTATAAAAATGTGCAAGTGACTTGTTTATTTTTGTAAATAATTAAAATAATTTTTAAAAATTTTTAAAAACTCAAATTAGCCTTGTAAAAAAAATTTTTTCGGGGGCGTGGCTGACGCCCTCCCCCTTTTTCAAGATTTTAGGGGTCGAGGGCCCGCAAAAGTTCTTAGAAGCACCCCAAAAAATTTTTCGGAGTGCGTGGCTAACGCCACGCACCTTCTTTAGAAAAAAATTTTTGTCGCCCCCCCCCCGAGCCGAAATCCTGGGTACGTCACTGGTTTGCACGTATATGTTGACAAGTTGCGGAGGGATCGAATGATTGCGGTGGGTGTGAGGGTACAGATTTGTCAACAAGGCTAGCGTGTTTTTGTAGCATTAAGCATAATTTATTCTTGTTGTGTTAATGTCTGATCAGTTGTTTTCTCCTATGATCTGCCCTCGCTGAGGCGCCTGCGACCTCAATGCGCGGGAAATGAGCGCTATAAAAGGCGCTCGCTGTTAGCTATTGTCAGTTCGTCTGTTCACTCGTCTGCCTCTCTTATTTGTGGCTGTTCTATTATTTTCTAATAAATATATTCTCTGTTCCTCGCGTGCTGCCTCAGGACGAAGAGTCGACGTGTCCGACGTGGAGGACACAACAGTGGCGATCAGGAGCG